CTCTAATTATTATTGATTTGTTATCGTTTCATTTAAATAAATAAAATGTACGAATTGCCTCGTCGCTCCAATAGGAATCATATTTCCGCCACGTGTAATTCATATCGCCACGTGTCTTTGCTAACTCGCAGCCTTCTTAATTAGCCGCCACGTAGAGTTGTTTCGTTGGCTTACACATTGATGATTGATGTTTGATCCATCCAGTCCTAAACCGGGGGTTATTGAAATATTTTGATAAACCGGATATACAAACCAAAAAACCATTTCCGGTTTACGTATTGATTGCAGCGAATGGTTGCTCATAGAACGAACACTTATCTTCTTCAACCTTTCGACGTTAAGCCGCGAAAATCAAAATCCCCAGAAACATGGCTCTGGTTATGCCCTGCACATTTTGTACTTCGATTCAGCGACAGAGTTTTCCGATCAATCGCCGTTATTCTCGGAATTTCCGGCGAGGAGCTACGACGAAGTGTGAGTTCCGAATCCCTGTAGAAGTTTCCAGTCCAACAGATAGAGGATCGTCGGTTGTTCCTTCGCACAAGGTCACTGTACACGATCGACAACGAGGAATAGTTCATGAGTTTGAAGTTCCAGAGGTTAGTCTGATTCTAGATTTTGATTCGTATGTCTCTTTGATTTTGCCGTTCTATGATGCGTTTGGTTGATTAGGGAATTTCTGAGTAGTATCAGCTTAGAAGGCAATGTATATGCTTAGAAGTGTCGAGCTTCTAGTATAGTTTGGCTCTGGGTGTTGTCATTTGAACTGTTTCATATTGCTAATCTAATCTGGATTCTACTTAGGTTTAGTTTCTCTCTTTGTTCGACTTCGATGTTGAAATCGCGTAATCGGAGCAAAATGAGAACGTATTCCTCTGCTTGTGGCTCTCTTGATGTAAAAGAAGAGGGAATGTTTGATAGATTGGGTTACTTATACGTTTGATTTTGTGCGATGTTCGACAACGACTGCAGTACAGAACGCGCAAATTCTGGTTCTGAATTCTGGATTCCTTGCTGTGATTAGTGTTGTTTCATGCTCTCTTTCTTCGATTTTGGTGTTGAAATGCGTATACACGGAGGAAAATGAGAACGAATTTTCTCTATGTGTGGCGCTCTTGATGTATAAAACAATATGAATCAGCTCGTATAACTATTCTTACATCTGGTTATTGTTTAGTTTGTCTGGCTTATCACTGGTTTCGTTCTGTTGATTCATGAAAATTCTATTTGAAAATGCAGGATCAGTACATATTGCATTCAGCTGAAGCTCAGAACATTAATCTTCCATTTGCTTGCAGGCATGGTACTGTTTTCTTGACTCGTTTCAGTTGGTTACTAAGACCTTCTTAATTGTGTGTTTCTTTCTTTGTCATCTACATGTTGAAATATGCTTTCGCTAAGTGCTCGAGTTCCTACTTTTTAGTCCAAGGAATATGTGTCTTGTCTACAGTTCGAGTTTTCAACAATTTTAGAAGTCCTTTCGTATGTTGGCAGGTTGCTGTACTAGTTGTGCGGTACGTGTAAAATCTGGAGAGCTGCAGCAGCCGCAAGCATTGGGAATATCAGCAGAACTGAAGTCCCAGGTAATTATATCCCTTTACCCATTGCTTTTTTGCTTTAGGGAGGTAGATTCACAAATGATCTGGAACTCAGATACATTTGTGATGACGATAGTCCAATATCTTATTATATCAATGAAAACAATACGAAGCTTTACCTAATGTAATGCAGTATCCTCCTAAGTGAGTCTCATCGCTTGGCATTATACAATGTCAAATACTTATCTAAGCATTTAGAGAACATGTAACATAGTTTGTGGAACAACTTCTTTTGCTTAGAAATCAACTACATTGAAGCATAGGGGGTAATAATAATAGTGTGATCATCCTTTACAAGCTTAGTGATTTTGCTACTTCAATTTTGATTCCAAGGTTATTTTGCATTTAAATTCTTTAGCTTATACATGCAGGGGTATGCACTGCTTTGTGTGGGTTTCCCTACATCTGACCTTGAAGTAGAAACACAAGACGAGGACGAGGTAACCTATTATATCCAAGAAACTGCTGCAGCGACTCTTGTTTTCTCTCATTTCATTCTAGCTAAACCATTCTAAATCCTATGGAGCACACAGGTCTACTGGCTACAATTTGGAAGATACTTCGCTCGTGGACCAATTGTAAGTTTTCATACCCGAAAAAATAACCTTGGTCCAATTTGCTTGTTACAAGTCTTCTAAAGCTAACCAACAAACGATTAAGCAGACTAATGTTGAAGTATATCTAGATAAATAGATACACTGTCATCCGTTAGGAAACTTAGGGCTTTAAAAATGCAAACGAACAAATGCGTTTAATGACTAATGGTGAAGTATATCTAGATTATTGGATAGGTAGACTCTATTGTTAAGGGATTTGTTTATTTTAAACTTGGAGGCCGTTCACTAGGACTAGTAATGGAACAGTTGTTGTCAAAGAGATCAAACTTAATATTATTTTCAAGATTCAGAATGACTTGAGATTGGTTTAGTCTTTATTGGCATCGGGCTTTTAACGGTTTATCGATGTTAACACTGCAGGAGAGAGATGATTACGCGCTTGAACTCGCCATGGGAGACGAGTAGAGATAGATGCAAAGTCGCAAATTTTCTGTATTAGAAGTGACTAGTGAGTGTTTTTCTTGCACATTTTATTCACTTTCTTAGTCCTGAATCTCGTGTTACATCCCCGTAATTCTCTTAAATATACATGAAATTCACCGATAATCCGATCAAACCTCCCAACAATTCAACATGTTATGAATACTAATGAGCCTATTTAAACCCACAAACTTCGAATTCCAACATTGTTTTGTTTGCATATATCTCTAGCTTCTAGTTAACTATATAACCCTTGGTCCCAAGTAATGGTCAATAATAGTATTCTTCAAATTTTTGGATGTGGAATATACAAAATTACAAATAGTGGTCCAAGTGAGAAGGAAAGGTAATGCTATTGTGACCGTAAGAGATGATGATATTGAGATAACAATGTGGGCATATGATATGCGTTTTTGGTATATGATACTTTGTTCTTTTGTTATCTATCAAAAC